AAATGGGATGTTTATAACATGCCATTCGTGGATGATAGATGACCTGGGTGCATTATGTTTTCAATTGAGGACTAACTCATCACATAGAACATTTTTGGCTTAGAAACTATACCCAATTTGTATAATAAAATATCGAGATATTTTTTTTAAAGTTTCAAAAACACGGATCTTTTTTCTCAAGACATCATTTTCACAACATGGTCCGTTTCTATTGAAAAGCCCATATTCTTAAGTAGGCAAGATTTTAATTTTTTGGTATATGATATACTAAAAGCTGGACAAATAAATTTAGAGCGATATGCTTAAAGTGGGCAAAGTTTTTAAAATTTACTAATTTTGGGTCATTTGTTTATTTTTACATACCAGTTGTTTTAACTATACCCTAGCTTTACCCATTTTGCTCAAATATAATTACCCCGAGTCTTATAATATGTATGAGCTGTTTAAATATTGATGTATTCAATTAATATCAATAAAACAGACTGACTTTGTCAAAAGAACAATTTATAATAAATATAATTTTCTGTTAATTGTTTATACTTGTACCAATTAAAGCCCCGAACGGATCGGCGAACTCAAAAATTTTCGGACCGGTTTCGAGTTAAGAACCTTAATCCGAAATTTTCGGACCGGGCTCGGGTCGGGTTCTGGTTGTTGGTTGGGACCGAACTGAATAACCTAAACCTGTCCTGAAAACCCAAAACTTTCCAGATTGTACCAATTATACTTGAGGTGAATTGCTATTAAAATTTGCATTGCGCCACCTATCATAATTTTCGCAAGACGCAATTCGTGATGCAAGATGTAAGATTCGATTTATGGCGCAAGTATGTTTATGACAATTTATTAGCCAACAAAAACTTTTTGGTTATGAAATATTGATGTTAAAAAATTAAAAAGTTTTCATGTAATAAATAAAGAATTTATATGTTAAAGTTTGAATTAATTCATACATCATGAATTGTGTCATGTGTAATGATGGTGGCCGAAATTATTTTAGCAAATCCGAAATAGTTTCGCCACAGAAATTAGGCTTTTAAACTAGTGAGGAAACTTAAAAATTGCCTAAACTGCGGGCGAAATCTTAAACTGTGTGTGAAACTCCTAAAGCACAGGTGAAACTTTTAAACTGTGGTTAATTGACAAACCTATGAGCAAAGCTTTATATTGTGATAAATAAAACGGATTTATCGAAGTGCTGTCCAATCGTATGTCGGACATGTGACCTATATAGTCTCGTTTTAATAATATTCGTATTTTTATATATATATATATATATAGGGTTCTCCAGCAAAAGGTACATTAAGCACCCTCTGACCAAAATTGAGTTTTTTACACAATATGTACTAGTTATTGTACGGGTGTTTAAAAATATTGTGCAAGCTATGACGCAGTCATAGCTTATACGAATTTTTAAATATCCATACAATAACGTTTATATTGTGAAACTGAGCTATGATAATGTTTGCATAACATGCACTGATATTTTAAACTTTTTTGTTGTATTTTATTCGAATTCTTCTAATTTAAAGATTATATAATAACAGTAATATGGGTAAAGCTGGAAAAGTTTGTAAAACACATACATATTTTTTTGCCTTAAATTGTATTAGTGCACATATTTTTTTTTTTTTATTTTTTTCTTTTGTTAGACGTTTATATATTCCGAACCTAGTGACAGTGAATTTGAATACTTTTTAAATAAATCCAAGAGAAAAGGAACAGTCAACTCAACAAAAAATTGGATTAACCATTTAGAAAATTTTAGAATGGATTGTAATTGTAATTGTAAAATAGAAAATATTGATAATATTAATGATCTAGAAAGGCAACTAATTAATTATATAATTAAAATGAAAAGAGATGATGGAAGTGACTATTCGTCAATATCAATTAAAACATTTGTATCTGCTGTAGCAAGACATCTAGCAAATAATAGTGTTATTGACAGGATTGATATTTATAACAAACAGATCTTTAAAAAATTGTGGGAAGTTATTGATGGTAAGCTTTGGCATCTTGATGAATTAGGTAATGGAGAAAGCCATGGCTCAGATTCTTTTACCAAAAGCGAAATTATCAGCATTCTTCAACATCCTTATACTAGCAAAACAAATCCTATAGGTCTTCTGAACAGAATATTCTTCAGGAATTGTATCTTACTTGGCCTCTGTCTCAATGAACATTATAATTTACAGATAGATCAGTTTATAAAAAAACAAGATGGTTCTTTTGAAGTGCTGATATATTTATATAAAGCTAACCAAAGAGGACTTTCGGGTGGACTTGCTGATAATTTGTTGATTCCTTATGATAAAGAAATAATGGATGACTATGATTTATATTTTTCCAAAAGACCCAAAAATGCAGAACCAGCATTTTATCTACATCCTGTTAAAGGAGACGAAGGTTAACATTTTTGATACCTATACCAATTCATATTAGCATAACTAATTTGCTATCATGATAAAAAAATTTGTATTTCTTAGAATGGACTTTATTAGATCATTGGTATCAATCAACACATATTGGCCAAACAAAACTAAAATCATGGTTGAAAAATATAGCCATTCAAAGTGGTATTGATTTGAGTAATAGAAAAATAACTACACATTCTGGCAGAAAAACTTTAATTCGAAATCTTAAAGAAAATGTTGGTGCTACAGATATTGAAACCATATCAATTTCCAGACATAAATCATTAAAAGGATTAGCTAGTTATGAAAGATCCAAAGACAAGTTGCAAGTTAATAGTATGAAGTGACTAATAAATATACTAAACACACAAGAAGGTAAAATATTTAATTATTTTTTATCTGATTTAAATGAATAAATAATTAATCAAACAATATTTTCATTTATAGAAAATTCTATTTAAACCACACCACCCAATGGATTTTCATCAATTATTTCTACACCTACGTCTGACCAAGACCTTGATTACAATTCTTCATCAAATTCTATCTCTATTTCATCTCCAATAACATCATCTAATACTCCTTCAACAATATCTATTAATTCTCTTCCAGCAAATTCTACTACTACACCAATTTTTAAAACTGCTAAAACATTATTACAAGGTAAAATATAAATTGATTCTTTAAAAATTCATATAGAAAAATTAAAAAACTGTTTAATTTTTTTTTAGAATCTCAAACATTAAATATAAATAGTAATTTGGAGGATTTTTAAAAGTATTTCAACAAGGACAATTTAATAATTGTAATTTTAATTTTTACCTTCAGCAATAAGTGTGATTTAAAATTTTATTAATATAGATTTTAATGACAAAAAATAATTTACATAATAACCATTCACATTTGTAATATAAAAATTGATGTTAAAATAAAATTGATTTATATTATTTGCAACTCAAATGTCGGACTTTTATTCAGCAATGTGAAAAATATCAGTGCATGTTACGCAAACATTATCATAGGGGGCTACACAATATATATTTATATTATAAGGACTATAACTGGTGAAAAAATTCAGTATCTGTTTATTTAGTAAAAAATGAGATAACAAACCTTAGGTTTTGCCAATTTCCATGGGGCAAAATTAGACCTAAACCAAATTGCCTAAATGCCTAAACCATGAGTTAGTTCCAGCTACAATCACTAGTCTTGTGTCTCAATTTATGTTTCACATCATGTACAACACCAATTATGGTTTTTAAACCAATATAACTGTTTTGCCTTTTATTTTTATTTATATTTGACTAATAAAATTTAGGTGAATAATCACAAAATTTTTTTATTAATATTAACCTGAAACCAACTGAAATTTTTGGATTGGTCTCAGGTTTGCTTTTAAAGCATTCGGATTAAACTTGAAACCAAACCCAAAATTTCATGTTGGTTTCAGTTGACACTTAAACAAACCCAGTCTATTTGGAGCTTTAATGCAAATATTTACTTGAAATATTCAAATACTGAATAAATAAATTTTATTACACATTATATTCATTTTACATATAAGAAATTCCAAGCAATGTTAGTCTTTTCCAAGTAATACTGAGAAATAGGCAGCTTTTACTAGGTAAATGAAACTTTACCAAGTAGTAGGTAACTTTAGACTAGTAATAATTTTGGAGTGAATAATTTGTACTAATAAAATACTATCTTTTATTATGGGATTAGTATCAGTTACTACACCTTCATCAGGAATACATAATTTGGAGTTATACATATAATTATATTTATATTATTTGCAAATATGTGGAGTCTTCATATAATTCCCATATAGTTCACATGTAAGTCATGTATATGCATATTATATGAGAATTATATGAGAGCCCCACACATTTGTAAATCATATACATATATAATTATACATATAACCCCATCATGTCAGAGTCTGAATTTGAGTATAGTAAAAAAAAGTGAAGTCTTCTTCCTAATATATATTAATATAATAAAAATGGAAGAAGACTTCGCCTTGATAGGTATGTGTTCTGTAGGAAAGTGTAGCCTTCTGTTTAAATATATATAATAAAAATTGGCAGAAAGATAGCATAAAAACAGGAACAAAAAATTCAGGCTTTAACATGTAATGAATGTAATCCTCATCAGCATTGATGGCGATTGAAATAGTTGTGCATTATGGAAAAGTATAGGAACATAGATAAAAATTAACAGTCCGAAATATGGGCAAAATTTTTTATTAATAATTATTTGCAGGTTGCATGGGAGAACCATTTTGGCCCTCAAGTGATGACACAAATACGGATTTGTTGTCATTGGTATGCACGTTGTGCCTCAGTGCGGCTCTCAAGTGACAATGCAATCACAAAATGGCTATCATCAGTCACCAAATAGCACATTGTGCCTCAGTTAGTCCTCAATTGAAAACATAATGCACCCAGGTCATCTATCATCCACGAATGGCATGTTATAAACATCCCATTTCTGACTTGAATGATGATGCATAAGCAATGTTGTCATCAATTTAATATGCTTGAGTGACAAATCAAGTACATTCCATTTGTCATACTGGGAGATATATAGTCTAAATCAAGATGTTTATATACTATATAACCTATAAATGTCTAGAGCAAAGAGAGATCAAAACATAAGAATAAACAGAATCAGATGATCATGAATCTTAAGGCAGGGAAGAATATAACATAGTAAAGTATGGACCAACCTAGGTCCCAATCAATCATGATCAATCCAGATGTTTGTTAAAAATCTGGTCATGTTCAGATTGGAGGGTAGTCTTTTTAAAAGACTGATAAGTTACAGATTAAAATTTTAGAGATTAAAATTTTAATACATTTTTTAATGCTTTATCTTTGAAATGCTCAAAAGCAGCCAAGTATATCAAGTGAAAGGTTTTTTTGTAAGAATTATTTATTGCCTGAATGCATCATAATTTTGGAGGCCATCAAGTTGACAAGCCTCATATACTAAATGAAAGTTGTTCCCATACCCAAAATTGAGTTGTTTTAAATTCAGTTTGTAGATAACTATTTGGACTGTTAAAAAAATTTTTTTTCATCCTTTCTTTACTTTGACTTTGTTTTAGAGTTTTAGGTTATAAAAACATTTCAAGTGTGTGTTTCAACTCTAAATGACATTTTTGCTTTTTTCTTTAACTAAATTTATGATTATTTCTAAATTTATTCTTTTTTAAATCTAGAACAAAAACACAAGGTCGAAAATGAGCATCTTGATGGTATTGAATGAGAAAACAATAAATAAATCCCCATCCAGTCCTGGAAATGTATCAGAATATATCAAGGCACAAGATAAAGAAGGGCTGTTGTATAATGATCATCTGTCCTGTTTTTGCAAATTTTTATTGTGAATATTATCTGTGCTTTTGATAATTTTTTTAATACTAGTATTAAATGATTAAATATTAATATAACAATAATGATGATTGTCATTCTTTTTCATTGGTATTAAATAATATAATAATGAAAATCACATTGTTTAAAAGGATACCTCTTATTAATATCATCATTAATTATTTTGCATGAAAAAGTGAATTAAGAAATCCTCTTGTTTATTTAATCTTTTTTATAAAAAATATCTTCTGTTTTGTCTATCAGTTTGGTTCGGTTTACATTTGACTCAAAAATTTCAGACATTCTAAATTCGTTAACTACGCAAAAAATTATAGCTTAGTTTTTGCGAATGTGTTGCGAAGTAGAGATGCTGGAAAGATCTTGTTTCTAAATACATAATTTATAATTTTTATACCATGGTAACCAAAATTAGAATGGAAAATTTTATACATGTTTAGATACAGCTGGTCAGTTATAGGTCGGATCGTTACATATTCATAGATTCACAAAAATTTGTACGTTTAGAGTTTCTTTGTATTATTCGTTTATTCGATTTATTCTTTCTATTTGAATTATTCGTTCCATTCGTTTCATTCGTTTTGTTCGTTTTGTTCGTTTTTTTCACTTTATTCGAATTGCTCGTTTTATTCGTTTCATTCGTTTTGTTCGTTTTTTTCACTTTATTCGAATTATTCGTTTTATTCGAATTATTCGTTTTATTCATTCGTTTCATTCGTTTCATTCGTTTATTCGACTAAACTTTCAATTTAATTCGAATATTCAGATTCATAACGAATGAAATAAATAATTCGAATAGGACGTTCTATTTTTTTTTTTTTTTTCAATTCAAATATAAAATCATGCTCTCCGCAAACTTTTAAACTCTTATTGTTTCAGGTTCTAAAATACAACGCCTTTGAGTAATTAAGTCTAATGCCTCCAGAAAAAACTCGTTCATTGGTTGTTATTAGGTTAGAAATTAATAAATTTAATTCTAAATAAGCAGAATGCAAAAATTAGAATACCAGGAACTTCCAAGTAATTTTTAGCCTAAAGCTCTGAACGGTTCGGTTCGGAGTTTTAATTAAGAGCCAAAACATGATAAAGTATTTTAAATGGAATTTGTCAACTGATTAAATATATTAATTTGTGTTCATGTGATATATATTTGTGGCTGAAAAAAATTTTTTTTTGACAATTAATAAATTATTTTCAAAAATGGAATATTCAAAGAAAAGGAAGAAAAACACGGGAAATGTCCAACTTGTAATAGATATAATACTGATTGGACATGTTGTCAATCATGCAATCTAAAGCTATTAACTGAAGGATAGACTAGTGGCAATGAAACATTAGATGAGTTAATTAAAAGTACACAACTTAAAGCAATTGAATATTATAATTATTTTTTATCTTCAATGGATTTCTTATAATGATTTAACAAATATTGTAAAAAAAAGTAAAGGGTAATTTTTTAAATTAATGTTACAAATTTGATTATACAAATTAGAGATTATTAAATTATAATATAATAATTTTTTAAAAAAAAAATAAATTAAAGCATGATATCATAAATATTAAAATAAATAAATAAATAAAAAGTGTTTAAAATCTAATAATATTAATACTAATAAATAAAATTTAAATTGTTTCTTCTTATTTCCTTATTTTCTTTATATTATGAATAATTGATTGCTTTCTTTCCCAGATTTTAAAAAATATAATATATATATATTAAATTAATTATTGAGGTTTTCTAAATAATACAAAAAACATCGGAGAAAAAATTTCAAGTTCTCCTCCTCTAACCAAAGCATCAGCGGTATTATTAAGAAAAAGAGAGACATCGGTTGACCCTGGTGGTGCAATACGTAAAGTTTCAAGGAGAAAAACAAATTTATGAGTAGTCCTATAAAAAATAAATAAAAAATCAAAATAAATTTTAATCGTTTTAACTAATATAATATGCAAATCCTATTATAATTTATAGATAAGATATATAAGAATAGTTATAAAGTACCATCTTCCTAGACGAGTCATTCTAAAACCATTCAATGAAAAACTTCCTTTCAAAGTGCTATACCATGGTTCATGAGAATCATCTAAAACAGCCATATCTTCATATTCAAGAACTTCAAAACCGACATTTTTGGCAGCTTCAAGCACTTTACTGTAAGAACCTAAGGCTGGCACAGAATTACCTTCCTATTAAAAAAAAAGAGTTGTTTTACAATTTAAATAAATATTATAAATAAAGATTTATACTTGTAATTATAATTATACCAACCTCAATTCCATGAATAATTTGCTTGTGATCAGGATTGTTTTCATCATATTTATCAGTGATAACCCATTCATAACTGGCAAAAAGACCACCAGGCTTCAATGTACGAAATATTTCACCATAAACCATTTCAAGTTTTGGTGCATGAACTGTTGCCTCAACAGCATAAGCTGAATCAAATTTCCCATCCAACTCTGGTGGAATATTTGTAAAATCACACTTTTTTTTTAAAAAAAATTTTTTATATTAGTGATGATAAAATGTATTATTTTAATTTTAAAATTTTTTAAAAAGCTCACTTTGACAAAATCAGTCAAATTCTCCAAGCCAAGTTTCTTTGAATATGCTTTACATCTTTCAATTTGATATCCATTATTATTAATTCCGGTAACGTGTGCTCCAGACAATCTAACAATTTCACGAAGAGGACCACCAACTCCACATCCTATATCCTAATTTTTACATATAAATAATCATTATTAAAGTTTTAATTATGAGTTGCGTGTGATTTGAAGAAAAAGCAATATTAATTATCGAAACTTCCAAAAAAATGAACATTTTCTTACAATAACTTTATGTTTTGGTGTTGATCCAAGTTTTAAAGATAAAAATTGTTCGTGGCGTTTAATGGATTGTTCAAAGGTATCACCTTTATATGCACGCGCAAAATGAAAAGATTCGCCCCATCCTTTTTTAATTATCAAAAATATTAATTTAAATAAATAAAAATAATCATGACAACGCGTCATCACAAGTGATATGTCCCAAAAAATCATTATTATTATTTTTTATAAACGAAAATTTGGCACTTGCCATATTCATAAAAATCAGTAACAATGTCATAAAATGCATTTGTCATAATTTGTGCATTATCGCGTCTTTTTATAACAGTTTCCCCTTTATTAGATAGGTCTTTTTTGTCTCCCTTCCACATATCAATATATGTATTTACAGTACGTCTGTTAAGTTGACTATCTTTTCTATAGATCTTGGCAACAAAACCATTAGGTTCATAAATAATCTCTCCGTGATGTTTCTTAATAACATCAAGTTCTGGAGAAGTAGTAGTATCAATATTGTCATTATCTGCTGTAATTGGAAGTGTCATAATTATGGGAGAAATATATTAATATATATGTATATGTATGTAACGTTAGTTAAATATTAAATTTAATTTAATTCATTTAATTCAAAAAAAAAAATTTTTTTTTTTTAATTTGCAATACTGCAACAAAACAGTGTGAACATTGGTATTACCAATGATTTCAGGGATCAAAAAATTAAAAATTTTAACATCACGACTGTATTACCAAATGTAATTTATAGTTAATGAATGTGATTATGAAATTTGTCTAAACAAAAATAGTTAATATGAAACTCATCTACTATGGAACCCAAGAATTACAGCATTAGAAGCGTTTTGAAGAAAAACAAGTGAAAAAATCGCTCCTTACACTTTCAAATAAATGATACTCAGGCCTTGAGGTTTATCAAAGAAAAGAAAGAAACACATATGAGATTTATCAAGAAGAAAGAATGAGGATATACCATTACAATACAAGAGACTAAACCCTATAAAAAATTGTCACAAAATGTATGTTTTTTTCCGCATATTCTGTATCGAATACATATTTGCCCTGAAAATGCGCTGAAAATACATGGAAAATGCATGGAATATGTACAGAAAAGCATTCTTTTCATGTATAAGTCCGTACATATTCCATACAAAATACACGGAAAATGTATGGAAAAACCATCCATTTTCTAACAAAATTTTTTATGTGGACAAAAAAATTTAATACAAACTTACTATCTATTTTATCTTTATTATTTATTAATGATATTTCTGAACACAATACTAATGTTCCACTCTTACTATATAATGTTCCCTTTATTTTTAAATAGTTATTTTGCTTTTTTTTTTCACTAAAACTTAATATATTAATAAGTAATCATGACTAAAAAAGAATGGTTTAATTGCCACAGAATCTGATTCATTTGACACAATCATTCCATTGACACACATTTCGTCAACAGTTCATTTTGTTAGCAGCTCATTTCGTCAACAGTTCATTTTGTTCATTTAATCAACAGTTCATTTCGTTGACAGTCATTTTGTCAACAGTTCATATGATTTTAGCATACATATGCATTGATTATTGAAATCATGATTTCGGAAATATCAGAAAATTTAGATAAAAAGAAAATTTGGATACTAATTAGAACTGTCAATGAAGTGAATGTGACTGTTGCCACATATAAAAGAAGGTTTAACCATTAATTGATGAGATTAAGAAGATAGAGAAATCATTAAATTTTGCTGCTGAGACTGTTCTCAAGATCTAATCCAACAAGAATCAGACATAATATTGCTGACTGAGAAAGGAATGAAACTTTAGCAAAGGTTAAAAACAAAGAAAACTTTAATTGGCCATGGAGAAAAAGAAAAAGAAATAATTATGGTCAAGGCAGATATGATAGAGTAACTACTTGGTAGTCCACAATGCAAAATAATTTTAGATTGATATGTTACAGCTTATGAAGACAGTAGAGGACACAAATGTTCACATGCTATAATTGCCAAAAGAAAATTGGAAGGGGCAAACTTTACTTGAAAAAAGAATAATACACCTAATTATGTGTGTGTACCAGGAGCAAAGAAACAGAGGAAATATTTATCACTCGTGTGATAATGTGAAAGTGCACAAAAAAGACATGCTTAAAAGTTGACTTTCTGATTTGGAGCAAGTGTTTTTTCTGGTCTAGTATTAAGAGCAAACTCAAAAGCTTATGCAGCAATCTGCACCAAACATCATGCAAATAATTTAATTTATGGACAAGAGTGAGCAGATTTAATAAAATAGATGAGCAATATAAACTGATGAGGTACTGGTTTAGTTTTGGAGTAGGAAGATTAGGAGGCCAAAATTCACCCCACTTCTATATGCAAGTGCAAATAAGTCTATGGAGTTACTGGGTCCAAAGGAGCTTACAAACTAGCTACACCTGAACAAATAGAATCAGCTAAAAAAGCCTTGCTGACCAAACCAAAACAATATTATTGCTGAACAGAATAAGGTGATTGCCAAACTGCATAATAAAGTAAACTATGGGTATACAGCTATCTCTACCAAAAATCATTTTCCTAATAATATCAATGCTGTTGACCAAGAAACATGAAACCAAATTGGTGAACTGTTACAAGAACTTATGCAAAAATTTGAAAACACCCTGGACTTTCATGACTTTCAGATTGGAGAAGAACTTGTAAAACATTAAAAAGGAAAAGAGGTGAATCCGAGTTCACAATAAATTTGTTTCCTAAACTTGAATACTGAAGGCATTATAGGCCAATTAAAAAGGCAAAACTATGGGAAATGAACATCTTGCTGAAAAACTCCATAATCTGAGGCTTAATATAAAAAATGAATAAGACTCCTTGGGTTGAATTAGAAAGCCAGCTTAATAAGAATAAGAGAGAGAAAGTTTACTGAATGGTAGCTGTGGAATACTCCTAGTTATTTCAGTTATTAAAATAGTAAAGATTAAAAGAAATAAAAGTTAATTGTGTCGTCTAACACTTTTTTTATTTAGTATAAAAATTATTCAATTACATTTTGTACTGGCTTGGGACTAAGGTTGCTTGCTGAAACCTCTTAATGACTGTCAAAACTCTGTCAATTGATTTCTGGAAGAGTTTTTCCCACAACCTTACTTGGGACAAGTGATGTCTTTAAATTCATCCATTAATATGCCTGGTAATTTCTTAAAATAAATTCCCAAAATAACTTTGATATTTAAGTACTGAAAACCTTTTCTACCTTCATAAAACTGAGCTTTGTTTAATCCAGCTGGACTATATAGAATTTTTACCACCTCAATCACATGATTCACACAGTCTATTCTTATTCTTCTGTATTAGACTTAAAATGAGAGCTTTATATATGAGTGATTTATAACAATTACTAATTTATGAATTTACATAGCATTTTTTTTAATATTGAAAGTTTTTTTATTCTAGCATTTAAATGATGATTGGTAATAATATTATAAATATATTGTATTTTTTTTTTATTTAAATTAATGTGATAGATAATACTATAAATACTGTACATAAGTAAATTTATATCAATGCTATTAAATAAAATATGATTAGAAACTAATTAAATTTGTATTAGTAATGTTGGTAATTTATGAAAATATTTAATGATTCTTTAAAATTGTAAAAGCATTGTAAAAGTACAATGTTAATTTATGATAATATTGAACATAATTTTACATAATTGAAAATGTAGCATTGAAATGTTTATGCAAATTCATGTAGGGTCCATAAAATTATGTTAATTTTTAACATAAAAAATCACCCATAAAAATTCCCTGATGTATAATATATGTGTATTCATGAATAATTTTTTTTTAAAATATTTTACAAGATTAATAAAATCTAAAAATAAATAAATCAATATGGAATTGAAAATGCATTTGATTTTATTTTCGACAATGTTTCCATATAATCGGAAAACAACAACAGATACCAACAATAAAAATAATTCCTAGAAATATTCCACTTATAACTCTAATTCCTATTTCATGAGAAGTAGAAAAACTAAACGGACCTATTTCTATTCCTGCTTCGCTAATCATGCTTGGTTTGATAATTCCAATAATTGGAATTAATATAAACCCTAAAGCAAATAAACCCCCAAAAATTACAAAGTAAATAGCTGCTCCTTTCATAATGGTTTTTTTTTTGACAGAATTTTTTTAAGTGGGAGTTATTTTATGAAAAAATTTTATTTGTAAAGTTCGTTCCCATTTGTCTAAAAAAAGAAATAATATAGTCATTTTAAACTATATGAAGTGATTTTGTTTAAGTTGTGTTGTGTAATACTATTACATATTACACTACTCGGATTAAATTTTCGCCTTTTGCTTTTGGCTGAATTACTGTGTAATTATGACCACCGAGACAATTTTTTGTATGGTAATATAATTTATAAATAAAAAAAATTATTTTAGTATATATTTTTTAAATTTTTACAATTATTATTAAGCAAAGGCAATAGGATTAGATGTGTTTTTGTTTAATAAGAAAGATAATTATAATATTCAAGAATTTGAAAATTAGATTTTAAAATTAAATTAGAAACAATTCCTGATGATGAAAAGAAATGCGACTTTATTGTCTTTAGATAATAATAATATATTCCATTTGGTATAGAATATAGAGATATTACATTTAAACAAATAAAAAATAAACGATCTCATCATATCTCGAATTAAGGTTTTGATCATTCATTCTTATTGGTCAATTTAACATCAGCAAAGTAAAAAAAGTCGATTTGAACCAACATTTAAAGGACAACAACCGGATTTTTATTTATAGATTAATCGGCTGAATCTCGAAGAACATTTTTGTATTAGAAGATGATGCCCTCAGAAAAAATTTTTATGTCAGAAAATTTTTATCGGCTGATTAATTGTTTAAGGGATAAATATGAAATATAATAGTAACTTGATGTGATATATAGAACATTTGCTGAAACAACCAAGAGAAAAGAGATTATTCAACATAGTTTTTAGCAAGAAATTTTTATTAATTAAAAAATAGCAGAATTTTGCAAATTTGTTTGTTTGGATAATATTTTAAATATTATATTTTAGGGCCAATCAGAATTTTGAAAATAAAATTCATTTATTTTTTTATTTAATAATACATTTTACATCTCTATTTTTAAGTCCATTATTATAATAATTACCATAGTATTCAATTTCGTCAATATTATAATCTTCATTTATTGTTATTATTTTGTTGTTGATTTCTACATAAAATCTATTTTGATTAATTGCCGTACTATATCCATTATTGTTATTATTATCCTTGTTATTATTATGGAATTCTAAAATAATTTTTGTTGTATATATATCCCATTTTGTTGATGAAATTGTAAAATTTATTCTTTTTGCAAAGGTAATTATGACTCCATGGTTAATGGTTCTTTGACAAGGTTAATCATGATGAGTGGAATATCAATGGATGTTTGTACAAGATCCAGAATCCAACTTTTATAGATCAAGAAGAAACATTTCTAATAAGTATTTTAGAAAGAGAAATTTTAAGTATATATGGTTGAATTTCACAGTTTAATGAACAAGTTAGAAAATTGTCAACTATTCTTTGTAATTATTAACAAAGAGAAATATATCTCCAATTAATGACCCTGATAAGTTTGTTCAAATAATTGAGTTTTTTGATTTGTTTTATCAAAGTATGAATCCTTCTTCAAAAACTCAAGAAGATTTAAAAAAAAGATTATAATACTTTGTTACCAATTGCAAATGATTGATGATGATCCTAACATACCATTTGATAACAATTTGGATCAAAAACTTAAGTTTGCAATATATAATGTTAATAAAATGGGATAAATTAATTAATATTAATATGATTGTCAAAAAAAAATTAAAGTTGGAATTTTTTAATATTATATATAGAAATGCACCCGCAGATCATTTAATATTACGCAATTATGTAATTATTTATTATTATAAATATTAAGGAATTAGAATTGAGGACAACAGCGACACAACAGCAGTAACAACAGCACAGCATAAATAACAGCATCAAATTTTTGTTATTGATACTTCGTTTGATTAAGTACAAATGAAAAATGTCTTTGAATAAAAGTGATCAAAAAAAAAAAGAAGAGACATTACCAGAGACAGAAGAATCTATTAAAGCCAACAACCAATTACAAAATCAACAAGACCAACAAAAAAGCATAAACGAAACACCACCATCAAGCAATATTGATAATACTGGTAATAAGTTAGCATCATCATCAATGGCAACAAGTGTAGTGAATAACAATGATGACTCTAGTACTTTAGATAAATCAAAATCTATTTTATTAAACAATAACAAAAATTATGTAATTAAAATCAAAGAAATTGAACAAGTGCCTGATGAGAATTCAATATTTGATGAGAATTTGAATAATCCTAACATTATAAGAAAGCTTTCAAATGCTGAGGAAGATGTATGCTATCCTATAAGACCACTAAATAAAAAAGAGGGAATAGATTTTGAAGCATTGGAAGAATATATTAGAGAAGAAAATGCATTGATGGCTAAGAAAAAGAATAATATCAACAATAATGATGATGAAACAAAAGCAACTTCATTAAAAAGACGAGTTAGTCAATATGCTGAAAGAATTAAGGTAATTTGGTTTATTATTAATAAAGAATTATATTAAAAATAAACAAATGAATATGTATTTATTTATAATTAGCCACCACCAGATCTTACCGAAGCATTACGATTTACATTTTATTCTACAGAGACAGGAACTATACGCACCAACTGTTTTTCAGAGATCCCACCAAAAGGTCAAACAATGACAGAATTATTAAAACAAGGATATTTTTGGATTGATGTATTATCACCAACTGATTCAGAAATGAGGATTTTAAGTTCGGTAATTATGAAGAAGAGGATTTGAAATTGATGTACAATGACTCAATTATTCCACAATATTTATATCATTATTTTATTAATATATGTATGATGTTGTAGATTTTTCATATTCATCCATTGACAACAGAAGATATTGAGACAGAAGAATCACGAGAGAAATGTGAATTATTCAAAAATTATTATTTCATTAATTTTCGATCATACAATCAAAACAATTGTAATCCATCAGATGATATTGAACCTATAAGCATGTTTAATGTTGTCATGAGAGAAGGGATACTATCAGTAAGTGATTGTGATTTTAATATATTATTATTATTATTATTATTATTATTATTTATTTAGTTTATTAATATGAAGAATATTTCATGTGAATTGCTTAATAACAACAATATCAAATAATAATAATAATAATATTTATAGTTTCATTATCAACCAACGTCACATGCTCATAATGTGAGAAGAAGAATACGTCAATTAAAGGATTATATTAAAGTGACACCTGGTAAATCAAACATCAAATTTCCAAGAAAAATTATTTAAATTTCATGCACCAATAAAAATTTCATAATTTTGGTTTTAATCTTCTCAATGATAATTAATAATTCAGATTGGATCAATTATGCTTTAATTGATGATATAACTGATTCATTTGCACCACTTATACGCCAAGTAGAGTTTCAATCAGATGCAATTGATCAATTGGTGTTGGTTCTTAAGAATTCAGAGCAACAAGATATGTTGGTGAGGATAGGAATTTGTCGTAAGATGGTGATGACATTTTTAAAATTGTTGGGTACAAAAGCAGATGTTATCAAAGCATTGATTAAAAGATGCGAAGAAATAAATGCAGCAGGTGGTGAGAAAAATGGTGAGAAACATGGGCCTGGGGATGTTGTTCTTTATTTAGGCGATATTCAAGGTAATTAATCAATTAGATATTTATATAATTATTAAATTAGATAGTTTCATTGATCTCATAAATACTATTTTTATTTTTAGATCATATTATTACAATGTTACAGAATCTTAATCATTATGAATTGATTTTGTCACGAGCACATTCAAATTATCTTGCACAAATATCTATTGAAATTACACAACTTAGTAACAAAACCAATGAGATTATAAATAAGTTAACAGTATTTGCCACAGTACTTGTACCAATGAATGTTGTAACAGGTAAATTAAATAAATAATAAAACATTACTAACATGACTGATATTATTAATCAATAATACTACTATTTATTGTTATTGTAGGATTATTTGGTATGAATGTTAAAGTACCTGGTCAAGATGAGGATGATCTCATATGGTTTTTCTCAATTGTTGGTGCACTTACATTGTTTGGATTGATAAGTTACTTCATAATAATGAGAATACAAAAATCATTAACTTGATAAAACATTATTTTTTATAATCTTGGATTTTTTGGATTTTTGGAAAACCTCATTTTTTTTGTTTAGTATTATTACTACATAGAGTCAAACCTCGATAAGCCAAACTTTTGGGAATCACAAAAATAGGATTGGCTTATCAAAATTCAGTTTATGAAAAACGATTTTTATTATTATTGATTGTTCAAATGTAAAAATGTATAAAATAATAAATTTTATTTATAAAAGGTTTGGGTGATTGACAGTATGGTGGAGTAAACTGGATTTTATCATCAATTTATGATCAACTGGTTTTCACAAATATTCTGCTTAGAAAGTTGCATTTTATTATGTTGCATTGAATGTTAGATTCAGTTTATCAAGTAGAAATTACAATTAATAAAATTCGACTTAATGAAATAATTTTTATTAAATATGATTTGATTAACCAATTTGGTATTGTTATAAAGCAAAAATTGGTTTATATTAGTTCAATTTATCGAGGTTTGACTGTAGTGATAATAATTTAATCAGGCAATAAATTTAGTGCACCCAAAAAAAAGGTATGTCTTAAGAAATTAATATTTAATGATTAATAGTAATAATAATTATGATTAAAGACACCTGCCATAATTGGTTATTGTGGCAATGGTAACTACCATTATAAAATAAATGCAGCTTCTGTAAATTTTATTTTTACATGACCTATTAAATTTTGGTATGATTCAATTAATCTTGGAAGGAAATATTTTAAATACAGTCAAACCTCGTCACAGCGGACCTCAACGGATTTAAATTCGTGCCACAATGTTAACGGATTTTTGATTGGGAACCTTCTATATGACTACTAATCTTACCACAGCGGATTCACGTGACAGAGAAATTTATAAAATTATCCGAATTACTAAAAAATAGTAGATAGGCAACAAAAAAAATTTTTTTTTAATTTACGGATTTAATTAAATACAAAACAATAAACGGATTATTTGATCAAGTAACAAAAAATTTCCAAGTTTCTAAAATAATTTATCAAATGCTTGCGATTAACAATATTTTTTAAGTTTCTAAATAATTGATCCAACGTCTGCAGGTAACAAACAATTAAATGAATTATTTGTTCAAAAGTTTACAAGTAACAAAATTTTCCAAGTTTCTAAAATAATTTATCAAACGCTTGCGAGTAACAAATAATTAAATAGATTGTATGTTCAAATATTGCAAGTAACAAAATCCCAAGTTTCCAAATAAATAACTGAAAGTTTTTAGACAATAAAACGAACATGATTTATTATCCTTCTCCAAAGATCAAAATTTCAAAATGTATAAATTAAAATGAAAATTTTGTTTATTAAATTTTACAACTATAATCGAAAAAAAAATAATGAAAAATTAATACAACCAAATATTTCATCTTATTTCAAAAAATAGATTTTTTAATTCCTGCATATATTAGTATCATGTGTTTTTATTATTAATTCCATTGTATTATTATCTATTACTATTAAAAAATTTTTTGTCGATCATGATCATCACCATAGCGGATTTCTTGTCACAACGGATTTTTTTTGGCTGGTCCCATCAATCCGCTGTGACAAGGTTTGACTGTATGCAATTCCACACCTCCTGTAACATATCGTTTGACTAATACAGTGTGTGACAAAAAAACTAAATTCAACATAGATTCACGAAAATTGCACCAACTCCAATGATAAATATACCATTTAGAAGTGAAAAAGCCACAGAATAAACTTTATTAAGCTTAAAAATTGATTTGTTCACCTTTACTTTCAATAACTAACTCACAATAGTGTCACATTTAATTACTAAATTATTCATAACTGATTTTGGAATAGAATTTCATTATTCTCTCAAAAACTTCAAATTGACCAAATTTTTGGGCATTTGTTTTTCAACATTGCCCTTAACAATTACCCATAAATTTTCTATGGGGTTAAGGTCAGGACTACAAAAAAGGCCAGTTGATAATTTCAGGTGCATTTTCAGCAAGAAATGCTCAAGCTACTTGGCTTGTATGCTTGGGATAGTTATCTTGCTGAAAGCACCACTTTTTTCCAAGCATTTCATTAAATTCACTGAGATGGTCTTCAAGTATTTTAACATAAAACTCACCATCCATTATCTGCTGGAAGCAAAATAAAGTTGTCATCCCCTTTGAACAAAAACCACCCCAGGCAAAGTTTTTTCTATGATCCTTTGGCATCAACAAACTAGACATTTATCTTTATGCCAACATTGAATTGTATTCCAGTACAATTTAAATTCTGTTTCATTAGTGAATAATGTTTTTTCCAATTGTCATTAAGGTGACACTTGGCCCATTCAACATGATTTTGTTTATGAGTTTCCATTAACATTGGTGTAGTTATAGGCATGTTTTTTTTTATACCCTAAGGACTTTAAATGTCTGCCAATTGTATGGTAGGACACATCAATATCACTGTTATTAAGTTTAATGGCAATAGAACACAATGACATTGAGGTATCTCAGCAAATAGATTGGCCAATGGTTTTTGCTATATTAGCTGTTATTTTCTTTGGATGACCATTTCTGCTTTTATGCTCCAAAGTTTCATTTCTTTTGAACTTTTTAACATTATATTATATACATCAGGAAAATGGGTACAAATATTATGCGTATATAATACGCAATTGCAGGGATTAAGCATATAATATATGTACAATTTGCATACATAAAAAAATACACGATTTGTACGCATATTATATGCTTAATCCCTGCAATTGCATATTATATACGCATAATATTTGTACCCATTTTCCTGATGCAGTTGAAATGGGTAACTTGGTGAGTTTTATTAATTCGGATATAGAATAGATCCTTTATTCCAGTGATATAATAATGTGTGCATCTTTGTTCATGAGTAGTTGGTGACATTTTTTGATGGCTAATTTGTGAAAATTTACTTATGATTTTATTGTTTAACAAATGTAATAATAAAGCTACTATTTACACTTTACTTTGGTAAAATATGAGATAAATTAAGTAATATTCACTTATTACCTAATTTAGTCCATAAATTGTTAAGTTTTTTTGTCACACACTCAGTGTGTAAAATTCAGCAGGAGGGTGTAACATTACACAGCTCACATGCACACATATTTTTTGGAAATTTTTTATTTAATTATAATGAATATTGTATTATCCTTCTTGTTTTTTATTTTTCCAATGCTTTATTGCTTTTAAAAAATCAAGAATTTCAATTTCTGGTCAATTATTAAATGATCATCTAATGTGTCTACATTCATTTGGTTTCTCAAATTATTTTTAATTAACTTTGTTTGAGAAAATATTCTTACTAGATGAGCATTAGAAAGGATATAAGAAATCCTATTCTAGCAACTAATAATATATTTGAATTGTTAAAAGGAAAATCCTCATCAGTATCTAATAGTGTTCCATGTCGCAATCCAAAAAAGGAAACAAAATGGTCGTAAAGGTGGTTGCAACCAGTGGTTGCAATCAT